ATGTGTAACATTTATGAAATTCACTTGAGAAAACAGCTGTACATGTAGACTACATTTACGAGTTTCCGGTTTAAGATGAAAAACATAAATGATTGAACAAAAAGAAACCAAAGAGACATCAAGGTCATCCACATTCAGAAGATAATAAATTTATTTTGTTGCTGTCGACATATTTGAACCCTCCAGGCAGCTTACCTGACCACTATATTTTTTCCGTCCTTTGTAAACTTTCCCAAAGGAACCCTCACCAATAAGCTCTAGAATGTGGTAGCGCTCCATGACTAAACGTGAGAGGCTAAGCTGTTTCTTTTGCTAATCGAGAAGCATAAAGTGGATAGAGGATTTCGCGGTCAAACGTTGCCGCCATTTTGAATGTTGATCTGGAAACGAGGCTTCTTCTCTTGCCTGGTAGAGCCTGGTAAGGAACAAAGGGTGAGTACACAGAAGCATTGCCTAATCTCTGTAAAGAATAGTTAATGTACCTGCTGTGGCTCCAAAACTGTAGAACTATCTCTGAAGAGGTGCGCATTTTTTTACCTTCCGAGAGGATATTTCCGGGGAGAATTTCCACGTCTTTCTCATCACGACAACAAATTTTAACGAAAATAGCCACAGGGCATCTCCGAGTACGGTGTACATGTTCAGCAGAGAAGCAAATAAAACAAAACTTCAGTCCGGATATCCGAGTATTTTTGAGCATGACTTTCCTCCAGCAAACGTTCTTCAGGTTTAAGGGACGAAGAGAAATCGGCTGATAAAGAGTTTGGAGGACAAGCCGTCCTTGTTAGCTTCAGGGGATCCTTGAAGAAGAACGACTTGTCGGTCCGAAATATCGGGAAAAGTCAAGTCGTCTCAGTCACCGCTGTCCTATTATGTTAAACTTTGACTTGGATAAAACCCCGGGGGGGTTACTCCCATACATTACCTATACGGGTATGTGCCGCCCAACGGGGTCGTGATTTTGAAGCTCCTGATTTAGAACGGGGTATCCATTTCAGAGGCGTTTTCTAGAACGGGGTATAAAAAATTGTGGATCACGGCTTTATCTTCTGCTTAAAATTGTTGCTGATTATGAAGAAGAATTTATTTGATGTATAAGTCGAACAAATAAAGAAATATCTTTTTAAAAAAACAGGGCTATTTCAATTTACAATCTTTCTGGAACGGAGTATAAAAAATTGTCCCGTTTCTAGAACGGGGTGTCAGTTTTAGGGCGAATTCTAGAACGGGGTATAAAAAATTGGCTCATTTCTAGAATGGGGTATCAATTTTAGAGGAACTGTTTTTTAGAACGGGGTGCCAATTTGGAGTCCCGGGCGGCACATACCCACCCAAAAAATACCCAAGTGCCCCCCCCCCCCCGATAAAACCAAGGGTGTAGCTACCTGTACGAACGGCATGCACTTGCGTAAGTGAAAAAGTAGAGGGCAAAGAAAGTGAAACAACTTTTAAGTACTGTTTAAAAAAACGAGCAGGGGTATTTTAGCAGGTTTAAAAACTCGAGGCAAAATACACGATCTCTGATGGAGATCAACTCGTTTTTGCACTAATGTTGAGATTTGGGGTTATTTTGATCTAAAAAATTGGACGTAAAGTTTAGCCGTCTTGATCAGATATAAAGACACTCAATAACCATCAATTAATTTTTTAGTTTTCTTTATGAATTGTTAATGAGTTCTTGAAAAAGAGAATAATAAAAGAACCCAAATGAATATAAGATACTTATTTTAGAAAGTAGTCTGTGTACAGCACCCCTCACTCACAAGTGTTTAAATTACAAAAGGTTTAACCGTCTGCCATGCGGGATACGTTTGGGACAACAAGATCTTACCTATAATCAAGGCCCCTGAAAAAAATTGGGACTTTGACGGGAAGGAGGTAGTGAAGGGGGTTTGCAAAAATTGTGTGCACCTGTAGAAAAATTCAGGCTATACACCTGAAAACAGCAGGATTTGGAAGTAGTCATTTTATATAAAAAGTTTCAATGACATCCTTACAGTCTGAGAGCTGTGATTTATGAAAAAATCTCTCTAAAATTTCACGTGCCCGTGGATATGCCTAACCACCCTCCCGGTACTGGTGCACAAAAATGAGAGGTGAAACACAGGTACGAGGCAACAATTACAGTATAACAGAGTTTAATGGCTATAAAACTCAAACACTTATATTTGACAAACAGAAACACTGATTTCTAAACTGTAAGAAGATTATCTATCCTCACACTGATTGTGTTATAAAGGAAAAAGGCAAAAACATGTCAAGAATAATAAAAGTTTCTTATGCACTTCTGAGTAAAACAATCCTCACTTATCTCGCTGTATTTATCAATCATGACTTCATGGCATTTCCACGAGATACAAAGTTCCAGAGTATCAAATCACAAAAGATTATATTTTACCAATCACACTAAAGCTTAAACTTGCTTTAAAATCAAGTGCATCACCACAAAGAGTTCAAATCAGATTGTAGGCAACAGGCCATCTGGCCAGAAACTTAAAAAATGTGGTTACTTTGCCTTGAACACTGCCTTCTGTCTTTTTCTTACCTTTCATGTGTGTCAACTACTCAGTTAGCAGAGTTAAAAAGCACAAGCCAAAGCTTACTTGCCACCTGAGAAATTAGCCTGAGAAAACAGCTGTCATTAGACTGACATTTTGCAACACCACCAACAGTTTCTTCGTGAAATGACAAGTGAGAAACAAGCATGTAAATTCCATACTGATAAAGTGTCACTACCCTGATCTGGGTAGTACTTCTGATTGGTCAAATTTTCAACCAACCAGAAGCACTACCAAGATCTGGGTACTCACACCTCATCAATATGGAATTTCTGCTCCCTGTCTTCAGAAATCATTTTCCCGAGAAACCCTTGGTCAGGGTGCAAAGAAAATCATTTTTACAGCTTGCTATTTGGGCAAGCTCAAGCTAACATCTACTAGCCCAAACTCATTTCAACTAGTCCAAAAAGCTTTTTGATGAGCAGGATTCATTTCACAGTTCTTTTTCAATTTGAATTCCTTAAAAAACCTCACTTGCCCGTCAGGCAAGTTAAGAACAGAATTCACTAGCCCAAAAGTAAAATCCGGGTTATCGAACACCACTTAAATTCTTTGCACGCTGCTTGGTAGTATTGTGAAAAGTTGGTTATTTTCTCAGACTACTCAGAAGTGCACATCTGAGGTTTCTGTAAATGATTTTCATTTTATTTAGCCTGATTTATTTAAAGATTTTAGTAGTGAGCAGTGAGTCAAAGTTTATCCAAAGCCACCACTGAAACTAGCAAATTCATTGAATCACATGCAGTTAAGCAAGTCTTAAGAATGAAGTATTATTACTGTGATTAGGTAGATCTGAGCAAGGTGTGAAAGGAAACCTATCCATGTTTTATATTGTAATGCAGGACAACTACCTTTCATTGGATAAAAATTGGAATGTTGAACAAACTCAATGATACATGCTTGAATTTTTCTATGACAAACAACTGAACAAATAGCACCAGAAATCTGCAGAAAAAAGAAGAAAGATAATATATTATTTTATTAAAATCAGAGCAGAAATTTTTCAGGAGTAACAGCCAGAATCTGCGCTAATAATCAAATAAGATAAAAAAAAAAAAGAGTAAGGTTACCCGTTGCTGAAAACTGCATTTGCTAAGACCAAACTCAGAAACGTCTGGGGCTACGAGATCTGCTCCTTCTTGACTGCCACCTGAGAGAAAAAAGGTTCGTTTAACCATATTTGTAACACATTACACAGGGTAATAAGGTCAATATATAAGTCAATAAATATGTGAAACTGATCAAGTCTGGCAATACAGCCAAATTTGTATCGAATAGTCACTTTCGAAAATGGCTGACTGATTGCTTACTACAGGTTAACCAGCTTTAAAATTTGCATTGACTGCAAAGTGTTTAATGCCTTTTCTTGTGACAAAAAAAGAAGATAACAGGGTGTAAATTTTATTTAAAATTTTAACATAATTTACAGGTATGCCACAGGTACAATAGACAGAACCCAAATAACAGCTTTGGACAATAAACACTCCATGGAACAATGTGCAGTCAAAGCCCTCTTTTAACAGACGCTCTACTCAGTGTAAGTGGACAGCTCTACTTATGGGCTACCTTTGCAAGACCCAACTTTAAGTCTCTGCAAAAAAAGCCATTTTCTTTCAGAGGCCAACTCCAGTCCCAAAATAAGGCAAATAATTTAGCAACACAAAAGTTATACCTGTCCATTTCAGGAGACCTTCCCCTTCGTCTTGGTGGTGACCTGTTTTACATTTAAAGACCAATATTAGTAGAAATATTTAAATATTAATTACGTGTGCAGATATGATGAAAGATTACACATGGTTTGCTTTAACTATATAGCATGGCAAAGCTAGTAACTACAATGTAGGCAAATGATTTGACATCAAAAGGCACAGGACATGGGCCTGGTAAACAAATTCATTAGGAAACTGCTCCAAAGCTATTAGTTGTAAGAGTGAATGAGCAGAGTGTAAAAACAATGCAGCAAATTGACCATGCATAATAAACTTCACTGAACTGAAATGATTTCCATCCTAGCCACATAAAAGTCAAAAATAGTTTTTAATTCCTTCTAGCATACAGTATGTAGTAAACATTTATAACATCAGACAATTCATTTGAAGTTATTGAATTGTTTACATGTCAATTTTTTTGCCTTTTCACAGTGAAAAATAATAAAGGTGACACTGCCCCTTAAAACTAATCAAAACATCTCAACCACTACCTGTAAAGCTGAAGTTTGGTTAATTGCAGGAGAGGAAAAACACAAGTTTCCATGCTAAACAAACTGGAGTGTCGATTCACATGCTGAAGAGGTAAACTAACGAGTTGGCTGGGGGAGGTTGACAAATTCGAGGAGAGGAATGCATGCTGCTGTCAAACAAATCGAAACCCATGGATTTGAACTGACGACACGTGGGCAGCATTTGGGTGACGTTGTGGGTGACAGCAGAAATCCTTTCTTATATCCGAGTGCACAAAAGCAGAGTGTGGTGAATTTAAAGAGAGAGGGAGGTCGAGTTGAATTGGTTGGTGGCAGATGGACGAGGGCAGAATTTGGAGGTTGATTGAAGGAAGTGAACAATCTGCTGGACAAAATGTTGATGTTTTGTTGAACATCCTGTGTACTGGTATTTTGAATGGAGAACAAAGGTGCTCTTAGGCACCACACTTTGTTGAGCTTGCCACCATAAAAATGTGGTAAAGATGCGAAGACGAGGTTAGTGGATGAACCTAAAGAACAACCCAAACAGTTACATGTATTTGGCATGAAACACATAAAAGAACATACTACAGTTAATTCATTGGCTACAATAATGGAGTACACTATGGAGAGCTATAACATATTCTCTAATGATCGGAGATAACTGAAAAACAAAAACTGTAGATTACATATAAAGGTGCTTGTGTCAGATTGTACACAGGTACAAATTGTAAATGATTAGCTTAGTTTAAATATGGCAAACTGATTGCAGAATTACAAGCAAAACAACAGCCTGATTTTTCCTTCCTCTTTAAATCTAGCTAATACTATTGCCCATTAAACCAATGGATTCAATCTAATAATTCATAGAGCACACTGAAAAATAAAACAAAACCTACCGATAGGGTGACCTGGACCTGTCATCATAACGACCAAAGCCACCTCTTTCTTCAAAACGGCGACCTCCCCCTCCACGGTAGCCTCCTCCACCTCCACCTCGACTGCGACCACCTCCTTTGTGTCGGGACAGTTCAACTCTTACACGAGCTCCACATATGTGCTTCCCATCCAAATCCTTTATGGCATCATCAGCATCACGTGCATCCTCAAATTCCACAAATGCAAAGCCTGGAGGATTACGAGCCACCCAAACATCGCGAAGTCTTCCATATTTCTCAAACTCTCTCTGAATTTCTTCTTTCTTTCCATTATCCCCAAGGTTTCCGACATACACTTTGGTTACCATCTACAAGAAAAACAAATGAACACATGCAATTATCAATTTAGTCTGTCTAACTTCTCTAAGAATATTCCACAAAGAACATTTTTTGGATAAAGGAAGATTCTTAGTAAACACATGACCCTCAATGACAAAATTGCATATTATTATTATATGTATACGGTAATCAACTCCCATTATTATGTTAAATCTTGGAACACAAAATGAAACATATGAAACAAATCATATTTTGAACTGCGGATACAAGATACGAAAGTGAACACGATCTTAGCAGTAGAATGAACAATAATACAACCTAAGGCCTGGTTCAGATGCTGAACTTTTCATCTTGGTTTGGATTATGGTTGATTCCGACTGGGTTTAATAATTCTACCGGACTTAACTAAGTCTGCGGCTAGAATTAACGTCGACTTGATTCAAGTTTTGGGGTTTTTACGAGTAAAACCAGTTTGACGAATAGAAATATGTTATAATAATTTATGCATTAGGTTCAGTACATGAAAAGTTCGGCATCTGAATCAAAGCCATTCCAAAGTTGCTCCAAAGGCGAAATTCCAGCTGGGCTAGGCAGAAAGAACAGGTGAGTTGTTCCAAATTGAAACAGGCATCCCTAATATGATTCAGATGCCAAACTTTTCATGTACTCAATTCAAAGTATAAGGTTTGGCTCATGAAAAGTTCGGTGTGTGAACCGGGCCTAGGTGGTTGAAAAAGAACCCGAAAAATTTCAGGCTTGAAGTGGAATCGAACTCTTGGGACACTTGCCCAACTTATTCAAAGCACCAAGACTGCAAAAATGTAGAGAATGGGATCGTATGTTCCTCAAAGATGATGTTCCCTGAATAGAACAATAAATTGTGATGTTGGGACCAAAAATTAGGGTTCAAAGTCTGTAGTTTGTATTTTTAACTGCAGCAGTTTATACAATAACTCAGAGACATCATTATGATTGGAAGTTAGGCTTAACTGTAAATCGGACTGTTATGAAACACACAATTCATAATAGCTGCTTGATGCTTTTTTAACTTATGGATTACACGTAGCGTAAGGAACAAGTTATTGTGGGCACTGCAATATACAAATGTGTCACTCAGGTGTAGACACCGTTCGTAATATATAGTCGGCTCTGCACGAAAGCACCCGATATAAAAACGACAACCGTCATAGATCGTTCCTCTTCCGCGATTGCCCAGAGCTTTTGATGTTATGACTTTGTACATTTCACAGGACGATAAGTTGTCTTCATGGGGACTTTAAATGTTTCAAATAAGCACTATGGCTAACTTTGAGACAGAACTTTTCAAGCTTCTTGATTTGCCCAGGCTATAATCATGACAAAAAGATCAGCAACTGAATTGCTCTTCAACTCCCAAGCTGGTCCAAGCTCATGATTTTTCACTTTTCTCATGACAGGACTCCCAATCTCATGTTTTTTAGTGAAATATCATTCTGAAATGAAATGTTTCTTTGTTCAACAAAAACAGAAATGTTTACAGTCACTGAATCATTATATTGATTCTCCTTATGTATTAAAAGACTGGGAATTGCCAGCTGTACAATGCCGTCAGCAAGAGACTTTGCGACGGTTTTGCGAGACACTTTTTGACCATATATTCGTCAAATGCAATGAAATGAGTTAAAGTACGGCTTTTACTGTCAAAACCCTGTTTGTTTTCCTTGAATAAATCTTTCAATTCTTCATAAATAAAGCTCTACCAGCTTCAAACAGCATCCTCTGGCAGAATTTCATGGGCAAAAAATTTTAAATATAATTAATTTAGCAGCCTTGTTTTACATTAGCTGTTTTGGCACAATGAATGATTTTCCAGTAATGTGAGACTTAGTTATACGCACAGGATTATGGGATCGCCAGGGGGCAAACATTGCAAGTCGCTACAAAGAAATGTATGGCGTGGAGCTGTTTCTCCGTTAAAAGCAGTGTCTTTGGACAAGAATGCCGCATTTTGCTGAGATTTTATGAGAAGCCGAGGTAACTAATGTTGGTGCTTTGAAATTGTAAGTTTTTGTGGGATCAATGCGATGAAATCTATCGATAAACACTCCTTGCTTAAGGTCGACTGTGAAATTTACAGTCTGAATGGTCTTGAAATATATAGTACTAACTTAGGTATAAATGAGGGGGGAATGTGGACTCATTTAAGCCTTTCCAGTTGTACTTACATGTGCTCATATTTACAACAAGCGTAATTACGCTCCGCTCGGCAGCGATCACAATGCTGTGCCGGTTTGTCACAACAATCGGCAGTAAGTTTATGTATTGTTGAATTTGATATGTGTTAACTTTAAAAACAAAAACATCTTCCCCACATTAGTATTTTGATTTCTTCTCGCCAAAAAAACACAAGCAAAATGTTTTGTCACGATCCAGAGCACCAATGAGTTCTAATGCCTTTTCCAATCATTTTTAGGGAAGAAATAGAATCTCTGAATTTTGCATATCAACTTGGTATTTATTTACACACTCTAACTGCTTTTGTATTGGAAATCTTCGTCGTTCATACGATTTCTGCCTCATCTACTAATGGTTAAATACCATGTACTTTCCATGAAATATTTCTCAGATGTCACTTTGTTTACACCAAAGTAAAGGAGGATTTGTTATTTTTATGGCCACGTACATACCTTCAATTGTTGTCTTGACATAACACGCACAGCGCCGCAGAGCGCTGATCGCGGCCAAGCGTAGTTACACTCGTTGTAAATATCACCACACGTAATTATCACTTAAACGCTTAAATGAGCCAATCCCCCTACATGTATACCTAGATTTGCACTATATATTTCAAGACCTTTTCTTCGTGTAGATCACTGTGTAAATTCAGTAAACATAAATTTCACACTCAACCTCACGCAAGGAGTGTTTATCGATAGAATTTATCACATTAATCACACAGAAACTTGAAATTTCAAAGCACCAACATGAGTCACCTCTGTTTCTCATAAAATCATGGCAAAATGTGGCATTCTATGACCAAAGACACTGCTTTTAACAGAGAAACAACTCCACGCCATACATTTCCTTGTAGCGACTCACAATGTTTGCCCCCTGGCGATCACAGAACCCTGTGCGCAAAACATAAGTCTCCAATTACTGGAAAATCATTCACCGATAACTGGTCCGGGATTCGACTCCCCCCGAAGGAGACCTTTTTTCCCTTTTTTTGGTCGTTTTGATTTGTCTTATTTTGCTTTTTTTAAAACATACTTTCATTTTTTGACAGACTTACAATATACCAGTAGACTAATAATTGCAGCTTTATTATCACCTTTCATTTCTAAAATAATTAGTCCACAAGTTAGCCATGGGCACCCTTTGATCTTGTTAACAGAGAGTTTGCTTAAAATGGCGGAGACCACAAAATTTATGTCAACTGTGCTCTGACAAAAAGTAAACTGACAAACTGTAACTGGCATTCCTTACTTTTAGGGGACCGTCGCTTTATACGGGAAAAAACTAACTGAATGCACGAGCAAAATGACGAGTTTTCACCAAAACATGACGAATTTACACGCCAAATGTAGAGAGTAGAACGAGAAAAAACATTAATCTTTTTTGGTTATTTTCTATATTAACCTCTCTTGAATCTACGCTAAATTGGCCAAAATCCAAAAAATTGCTAAGAAATGTCCTGTCTGCGATATTCATTGTTCGTGGCTAAAAGATGCATCCAGAAATGACCAGTATTTGTATTTTTTCGTTCTTTATTGTTAAACATATGACATTATTTTTCTTCGTTGCATTAAACTCGTCATTTTGCTCGCGAACTTACTTGTTTTTAGAGCGACGGTCCCTAAAAGTAACGAAAGCCCTGTACATTTTCTTTTTACGATCGTACCAGCCTGAATCGTTCCAACCAAACATTGAATAATATTTTGAAGTAACCTAAAATATCGGGCTCATCTCCGGTTTAATATAATTTATTACTCATAGCTGACGTAAAATCGCCACACAACGAAGCATTCTTAGTAACGGCGAGACTTAATGGCGTCGCGTTAACTCGACAAACGTTTATGCTCTGCGAATAAACTTAAAAATTGCGGAAGTGAAGTAATGCTACGCGACACAAACCAAAGTTTACAAAAATACATTGGCATTTAACAAACGCAGGCAGGCAGTTAAGTCTTACAAGTTATTCGAAAATTTACGCGACCGAGAAGATTGATAAGCTTCCACTACGCAGTCAATAATGGGACGCTTCCGATGTTGTGATTCAGTTACACTGACGATTAAGTCCACCCTTGAACCCTATTATTTCCTTAAACACAAAACCAAACCAATTAATTTCCACCTACCTTGATTTTCAGGTCTGTGTGATTACAAACGCGCAAAAAGCGATCGACTAAACGGCGTGGACCACAGCGTGCTTTTCAGCGCGGAAAGATCAAAAGCAAGCAATACACTAGTTCCAGGTACACGCGGTTTCGGGAGGGAGGGACCCAAGACCCAAATATTCGGCGGTACAAGAAAAGACCTGCGATGTTTCTTGTTGCCGGCAGCGTGTGTTCAGTTTCCCGGTCATTTACAGCGGGTATGTTGCAGGTAGATCGGCGACATATACTGAAAGCAAGCGGTCTCGATCTCAGTACAGACGATTATACTGCTGCCTGAATAGCAATACAGGTTTAAAAGCTTTTTTGTGCGAAAAGCGCTAACATTTTACCCTAAGATTTCATTTATCCCCTGGCGCCGATGGTTCAGACGTTCGATACCGCTATCCATTAGAGTGCGTAGCCAGCGGGATTAATGTAGCCCGTTCCAGGCGTTCGGATAGTGGAGTGCGACGCGAAGGAAGACGGCGAGAAAAAAATACGGTGTTTTTTTTCTGCTCACATCTTTTTGCGCCGTCCCCACGATCTGAACGCCTGGAACAGGCTAGATTGCTGTGGCTGGGGTACGCAGTTCTGCTGCCAAAAAACAACAGCACTCGCTGCCAATCCCGCCAGCTACGCAGGCTACTATCCATCGGATAAATGACCATAAATCCCTATCCTGAAGATAAGTACAACGGAAACTAATTGTGCTATCCACTGGATAGAGATTTATCCCTGGGATAGCGTTTATATCCACCTTTTCAAAAACTGGGGCAAGCGATTTTCATCATCGGGACGCCAGGGCAATTTTCCGGAATTTTGGACAATGTCGAGGTTGGTCCCTAATCTTGGGGACTGCGCAAGGTGGCCGAGCTTGCGTGACGAGTAGCCTTCCACGCAGACGTTGTTTGAGCTCGTCACGTCACCCACAGAGGCGTTTGAAAGGGAAAGGGGATTTTGGGCGCGTGAGAAGCGCGAAGGACCCCCTTCTCACGCCCCAATTCCTTTTTTCCGACCTTTCGAACGTCTGCCAGCAGGCTAGAGGCCTGCTGCTTACAGCGCTTATCACCACCTGCATTTGCTAATTGCTCTCGGTACGAAATCTCGTTCCCAGATCTCTTGTTCGACATTCCCTTTATTTTCAAGAACTATGTTTCTTAAGGGAGAAATGTTGATTCGGCTGCAACCAGGCAGTAGTAAGAGCAGTATTGCGTTAGATTGCTTGCCTTTAAAATTTTTCTTTGTATACTTTCCTCCCTCCCTCCTTCCCTTTGGAGGTATTGTTATTATGATTCAAAGAAATCTGGTTCACCTCTTGAATGTCGCTATTCTTCCGTGAGTATCGTAGCCTGCAAGCAAGCTCTCCTATTTGGGCAAGCGAAGCGAGCCTCGCGNTTGCATTAGATTGCTTGCCTTTGAAATTTTTCTTTGTATACTTTCCTCCCTCCCTCCTTCCCTTTGGAGGTATTGTTATTATGATTCAAAGAAATCTGGTTCACCTCTTGAATGTCGCTATTCTTCCGTGAGTATCGTAGCCTGCAAGCAAGCTCTCCTATTTGGGCAAGCGAAGCGAGCCTCGCGGGAACGCGCGAGCGAGGGGCTTTGCCGCTCGCTCGCGCGTTCTCGCGAGACCTGTTTCACTCGCCCAAACAGGAGAGCTTGCTCGCTGGCTATGAGTATCGCGGCGACTTCCCCAAGCTTTGTGATTTTGCACTATTTCAATAATCGCTGTTTAATATTTTGCCAGCGTATGTCTTGGACGCATCATGCCTAAGTAATTGGATAGTGCGCACCATCATGGGCGCACTTTAGCCTGTGTACAGACGCCCCCCTTCCCTCAGAAAAAATCGGGGAGAGAGACGACAGGGCATCTGTACACAAGCAGCTTTTCTTTTTTTCACTGCGAGTAAAATCACTTTCGGAATATTTCGTGTTTTAAGTTTAGAAAATACCTAAAAAAACCCTAGCTGGTAAAACTAAAACAAATTGTAGTTATGACCAATTGGTAACACGTCATCCAATTCGGTCTGCAATCATACGCGTGATTAAACAAATCAGACTCCATCGTAAATCACTCTTATGATTACAGACCTAACTGGACTCCACTCAGTCCTATTACCATTATTTATTAAAGTTATGACATTCCCAACGTCACCGTTGGGGTGTGGTCACAGGTCAATAAACCAGCTATTATCAATTCAAAGACGCTTGTCAAAAATCAGTTGGTTGAGAAAATGACTCAGTCCATTCAAAACGTTAAGTCTTCAATACTACCGTCCTTGATTTTATTTGTTTATGTTCAAAAGTTGCATTTGTTAGATAAAGTGGCATGCATAGCTGCAACTGAAAAAGACCTCTCAAACATGCGAGCAATTCAAATAGAAATTCACTACGAACCTCCCTAAGGTGGGGGTGTTACTAAAACAATACTACAATTCATCTTTTTCACTGCCTTGCTTAACAAGCTGAAAAGATGTTAAAATATCTAATCGTTTCTTAAACAGATCCTTCTTTTTGTCAGTTATTTTATCTTTCAAAAGTTTCACTTGCGCGTGGTGAAGTGACAGTTGCATAAGTTGTGGAAAGAGAACCTAGAAGAAGTACTAAAACTGCATTTAGAGAGGTAACCAGAAAAGGTAGAGCAGACACGAAAGAAGGTCGCGAAAAAGTCGAAATTGAATGATGTCTGCATAACTGGAACTGTCGCTTTTCAAGAGTTCCTCAGCGAGTTTGTCGAATTTCTCGATGCAATTTGGCATCCCTAAAATGAGAAAAATATTTAATTGCCTGTCGACCTTGCCTCTCTTGCCACCCTGTCTGGACGGGATTAGTAATTTATCCTCACTGCATAGCTATTGTGGCATCCCGGCAAACTAAGTTATGGGACGAATCTGTAACTGCCTTGACAAAGATATGCAGCATGGCTTGGTGATGTGGTCACCGCCACCAGGGGAGGTGGGAGGGGTGAAAAGCGCCATTACACATGCAGTGAGAATAGAGCAGAAAAATTCTCCCTTTTATCACACACTTATGTTAACCCAGCTTTTTAGGTCTTTTAAGTTTTCTAAACAGCGCCGATTCCGAAAAACCATAATGTTAAAAAAGGCAAGAAAGGAAAAGAAAAGGGAGGAATCACGAGTTCTCTTATGAAAAGTCACACAAAGACTCCTGCATATGTGGTTCTTAATGATTTGTGCTTAATTCATGACATGACATTTTAAAAAATGTTGACATCAAGATTGAAAATGCAGAAAGTGCCATTTAGACCAGTTAGGGATGCAAGGTTTAATTTATTCTCTTTATCTTGATTTTTTTACATTTCAGAAAAGGAGAAATGCATTTGCAATGACTTAATTCAAAACACTGAACCGTGTGCAAGTGCTATTGTGCTACCAGAAATGATTGCATCCGAGCCACAAGGAATGTTTTGGAAAATCATTATTGCTACTGAATTTCTTGATAATTTATGACTGTATAGTTGTTAGTGTTATATATTGCTCACTTTTTTATTTCAAATATTTTGGTAAATTACCTACATATTTTAAAAATTAAATAAACAAAAATATTGTTCATAAAAAAATATTATTATTATTATAAGAAGAGTGCCATGTGACACAAGAAGAGCGCCATGTGACATTAAGAATGTTGATATTGACGTCAAAGTTGTTGAAGGAGCCATTCAATCGGACTATTGATGTGTTTCCTTACTTTTAAATGGCAAATATTCGTCATTAACACATTGTGAATGCTATTTAATTTTCCTCTTTTTTAGTGATTTTTTTTAGTGATTATCTTAGTAAGAATGCAATTGACCTTGAAAATAGTTTCTTTTCTTTTTCATTGAAATGAATTGTTTGCATTGAAATAAATCTTCTTAATTTGAATGATTTTTGTTAAATGAAATGAATTTTTTCCTCATCAAAACTAAGCGTATTTTTTTTTAAACGAAAGGAATTGTAATTAGTGTTTTGAAGAAATAGTTTCTTTTAAAGTGAATTAATTGTAAATAGGATTTTAATAGTTTCTTTTTAATAAAGTCATTATTGTTAAAATTCTTTTTTTAAAAAAAATATTACCATCATCATTATTATTATTATTTTATTATTATTTTATGAGAGCGCGCAGTAGGATCATCCATAGGAAAAGTATTCAGAAATACATCACAGCTACCTATCCAAAGACGGGCGTTTGTTTTGATAAACTGAGAGAGTTCATCAGCCTTGACCTCTCCCTTGAAGTCAACTGGATTGGCCTCATTCTGTTTGAATAGCTTGTATACCGGAAAGTCATCCTTGTTGATGTTAAATCGCTCTCTTAGTTGGTCATTTTCCTTTTCACCATACTCTACAAAAAAGATGAAATACTGTAAATATCACATCCTACAAGATAAACTAAACTAAATGTGTCCCATCTGCAGGCTTATTTATTGGGCAAGCGAAAGCAGCTTGTTTATGTTTGGAATGCCATGACTGCCACCCTTGAAAATTATATCACTAAGCAAGACAGGAGAGAGAGTAGAAATATCAACCCCCGGGGTAGGCATAATGGTGAAAGAAGGAGATAGGGAAGAGGTGGCAAAAATACTTCTTTCTGGCATCTCCACCCACTGTGATTCCCCACAGCTCCTCAATGTTTTTAGAATTCAGCAATGCAGTTACCCAAGCATAATGTTTTCCCCAGCTGAAGAGAATGCCTGCAGTGCACAATGAATTGATTCCTGTGAGGTGGTTCTAACTTTTGAGTTGGTGGACTACATAGTACTACAGTAACTGTATTTGTTTTTCAACATTAAACTAAATGAAATGAGGATTTGATTTTTTCTTACTTTGGCTGCTTTTGGGAGTGAAAGGGTTAAGGTGGTACAGCAGAACCCAGCCATATGACCAAATTATAATCAAATTATTTGGTGGGTGTGTCTATTAATGACAATATTAAGAGTACATTTTTTGTTGATTCCCTTGAAAAAACTGAACCCAGAAGAACAACATATTATCTATGAACTTTTTTGCCATTATGAAGGGAGTATGGTTTTCACATTTTATTTTCAGATATTTTCAAAAAACCGGATGTGTCTCTTTTTCTTTGTTTGTGGTTAGTACAGCAAGCAATAGTATTATCATTGACAAATTTTATTAAAAATGATAACCACTGTTTCTTAATAATAATATTACTGAGTACTGTAAAATGCCTCCTAATACTGTACTGTTAGGGACAATAAATAATGGTAGTGGCACACCGGATACACATAACCCCTATATGTAGCTGTTTTAATCTGGAAGTATGCATACATACATACCACTGCATAATAAACATGTCCAATGTTATTTCAATACCTGATACTCCAACCTCAGCAACTAGAAGATCTGGCTGTGAAGATGCTTTCTCAGCAAATTTCTTAAACTCATCCTCTTTTTCCCCATATGCATACTGTTTGTCAAACTTAACAAGAACTGCCTTGTGTTTTCCAATGACCTGCCTCCGAAAAAAGTTATGAGAAAAGGAACATAAGTCTTACATGAAATTAAATATCCCCCCATAGCAGGGTTGTCACTAAGATTTCAAGTTGCCAAGCAAATACAACAAGTAGGTGCAAACAGCTAAGGATTTCTTTTGGTTCTATCTTTCTTCTATTTTCCAATAAAAGTAGCTGGGGAAACTCTCAGAACACAAGACCACAAGAACACAAACACATCAAAATAATAATATTAGACTTCACACCACCAAGATGGACTACTGGTATCACAGATTTCTGGTTGAATATTTCATTGTAAAAAGCAATATTTTAATATCCTCTCCACTTCTCCATACAGTCACAAATATTAATATAGGCCTTTAATTTTAATGCCCCACACATTCTTATTGCTTATATGATCAGCTCTGATTTGGACATTACAAAGTACAAGGAATGGGTGAGTCACGCTTCTGTAACAAAACCGTAACAAAAGTTGTTTAAAGTTGACCAATGACAGCTGAGCACGTTGTTTTGTCTAAGGAACTTAACACGTGTAACACGTGTATATACGAACTCACGAAAAGCCATCTACTTTTGAGAAAAGTTGGAGAATTTTATTTGTTTACTCAACTGCAAATGCCTTATGAAACATTTTTATAAAATAAAGTTGAGATCCAAGATTGCAATTCCAAGATCTTTGGCTGCCATCATATCTGCCATCATATACAATAAGATTAAATCACTCCAGGTCATTTTGAAACTGAAATGCAAGGCTTTTCGTCAAAAACCCTCACAGCCGTGCACACTATTTAGGAAAAGACTAATCAGGCTGGATAGTCCAGATTAATAGTGGAAACCTCTTTACGACTGAGATGGTCTGGCCAGCCAACTCTAACAAGTGGTATGTGTATGTCCAAATTATCTACGGGCTCTTGACCAATCATGACCATTAGCTTAGATCTAGGCGCCACTTTATGGCCCTAACCATTTTAAAAATACCTTGTCAAATGTTAGAGTGTCCAGAGGAACAGCACCCTTAGCGGCTCCCTCGACTGGTAGGACAGGAACTGCTGCAAACATAATCGCGGAAATGACTAAGGGTAATAAGGCCATTTTGGACAACGGGAGGAGTAACAATGCAATATATGAGCGGGGGACTGTGTATTACCACTAGTTCATCGTAGTGGTTTCTGGGATTTTACCTTCCCATAAGTCTCTTATACTATATTTGCTCTCATCGGTTGCAGCTGCGTGCGTTTTCTCTGTTGTTTGATAAAGAACTGTTTTCGAAGCATATTTGGGAGAACTTCTCACCTTGAAGTAAAGGTAAAAAAGATAGTAAGCTAGGGAATGCGTTTTTTCACGATTTTAGATTTTTATAGACTTATAATAATGTTCCGCGCAGGACGTCTAGGGCAGGTGTTGTAAGTTCTTCATAAGGAAAGAATATGCTTAATCCAAGCTCAGAAAATTTGTCCACAACAACACGAAACCTTTATTTAGAATCGCTTAGCATTTCTGAACAAACACTTAATACTCTGGTGAGGTTTAGTTGATAATTTGTGTGGATATTCATAGGGAGTTGACTTAGTGTGTCAGAACTTGAATATTTTCTAAGTGTCGAAAACATTGAGATTCACTCTATGCCCAAGCTCGACAGTCGCTTCTACTTTTTAACCAAGGCAATATTTATAATCGCATGAGATAAGATTTGTTTATAGAATACAAGAATCTCCTTAATTTGCTCGATAAAGCTCTTTTAACCAGTTTTAAAGACTGACGGCCCATAGATCAAAAAACTTTTGTCAAGGGCCGACGGCCCATAGATCTGACGTCGTTCTTCATAACGTGCTTGCAAACGCTACTAGTATCTCTTTTTACGTTCTTGTATAACTTTTCTTTAGAACTGTTGCTTGGTCTATTGTGTCGTACTCTATTGTGACCATCAATCAACTTATGCAATTTTTTTGATGGAAATTTTGACTTTTGGCCTTGGAGCTCTCCAGTTCGTAGTCCGCAAGGCTTAATGAGATTTATATTGGAACCAGGTTTATGCGACTGTTTGGAGTGTTGTGATGAAAGCTAAAAATGTCCAGTTTCTAAGTTAACCCATTCATCGCCTAGGAATTTTGCCCAGAATTGCCTTCTGAAGGTAGTTGAACTGTTCTCTTGGGGTATAGAATGTTCAATAAAAAATGATATGCAGCAGAAAATATTATTTGAGTCTCAAAATTAAGAGTCTCGGAATCTTTAGTCTTGCTACAACCTGACCTGTTTTGAAGTCTAGAATTTTGATAATTTGAATCTCTGAATCTCGAAAAGTGTGCCCAATATCAAGCTATATATTCACAGTTGTAAGTTCGGCATGTAAGAAAAATGGGTGCCAAGTTTTTTACTTCAGTCAGCATCAGTAAATAACCAGTGCTTAATGACTGAGAACATCCATAGATATTTAATTTCAATGACTCAGTAGATCTACAGGGCCATTTCGGTAGTGTTTTTACTTAGCTTGAAGGTTTGTAGGAAATGGCTGAAAAGCACTAACGTTTCCCATTTGTTATAAATGTGGAGCTAAACATGCTTCTAACTGAAATGACTCATAAAGTCAACTCTCACCTTGCTGACACCCCATTATAACGAGGACCCTGATAATACAGACAGCAGTTAAATCCCAGGCAAAAATAAATTAGAAATGTTTGGCCAAAACAAACTCCCCTATTACGAACTCTCGCTAATGAGGACACTAACTCGAGGTCCCTGAAGTGTCTGTTATTTAGGGAGTTAACTGTATACTGCCTTTTGAACGCTCATCGTCAGTTTTCAGTCATTTTATGTGTACTATGAACTTTAAAGTTTCGACAGTTAGAGTCTCACGCTTGGAGTTTTATACAGGCAAAGTTTCAGGCTGGTATTTGATGAAAATTCTTTAGTCCCAGTCTTGAATTCTAAAACCAATCTGGCAAAGTCTGGAATTTATGATTCATATACCCTTATGTTCTGGTCACTCTCTGGCTATAAAGAGCCAAATATCAGCTTTTGAAGTTTGCGCATGGGTAGAAAACAAAATTCCAAGATGGCTTTTAGGTTTAAAAGTGACAAATCAGTCTCAAATTTTACCTTTTGCTTTCTCTTGTCCCCTCTTCTTTCTCTTTTCTTGCTCGGTTTTTTTTTTTTTTTACCTTTTGCTGGGCATTTTGTTGGCTTCATCTTGGTGACAAACAATTCAGCAAAAGCTTTTAGGGTCATAGGATTAAGTGGAGGGAAGTATGGGTGGTTTGTGGAACAGGATTTTCATTGGGAAACTTTGGGTTAACTTTTCATGTTTTTTTTGCATTTTCTCTGGTCTCCTTGACTGAATCTTGCTCATCCTGGCATGGTTTGAATGACCTCTTCCCCTAGGCTGCACAAGTTAACCCTTTAAGTCCCAGTAGTGACCAACATCAATTTTCTCCTAACAATATCCATAGATTGTCAAGTGCAACATCTATGAGAATTAATCAAATGATCACAAAGAGAAAAATCTCTGATCTTTTATCAATTTCTTCCAACTAATTCTGTAAGGAAATGTATAGAGATCAGTTTGGAGAATTTGTTTGTGGATGTTGGGGCTTAAAGGGTTTAAATGACAAAGTTGTGCTTGATGGTCAAAACTGATGATTTCACAAGCAGTACAAGAGATATAGATCCAAGCGGCTACTTTTGGGCAGTTTAGGGGTGAATTAGTTAAAGGAGTGAAACTACATTCGTGATCTGCGAAGTGTAACAGAAAAAAAATAATATAATAAATTACAAGTAGTACTTAGGTTCAATGTTGCTTTTTGAGTTTAAAATTACTCTAGGTCTCCTGCTGTTGTATGAACTATGAGATTAAACTCCTTTACAGCTCTGTATAACCAGGGCAACTTCTTAAAACCAAACAAATGTGCTAATTAGGATTAATTCATACAGTACTCTAATACATTCCTTTCTGATGTAGAGGAAATAAAATGGAATAAAGCTTTTTGCATGCAATAAAATAAGGAAAGTTACATTTAGATAAGAATAATAAGTCCTTGAACACCTCTCTGAGGATATCTAAAAGTCTTTCTTGGCTGATTACATGACTACAAAGGCAGTGGCAGTGGTTTTTGACCAGCACAGTAGTTCCAGAATCTAGACCATTACTCTAACTTACAAAATTTCTGTGATAGTTAATTCAAGTGAGCATTTGTTTTAGATGTCAGGACGGACATACAAAGTTTATGTTGGAAATCTTGGCAGCAATGGTTCCAAAAGAGAGCTGGAAATGGAGTTTGAGAGGTTTGGAAGGCTTCATGATGTGTGGGTGGCCCGTAATCCCCCTGGCTTTGCCTTTGTCGAATTTGTAGATCTGCATGATGCAGAAGATGCTATTAAGTCACTAGATGGGGCAAGAATTTGTGGAGAGAGAGTTCGTGTGGAAATGGCTCGAACTAATAACAGTAGAGGAGGAGGAGGAGGAGGAGGTGGAAGTTATCGCTCTAGTCGCCGTGATGATCGAGGCGGTGGGTGGCGTGATGACCGAGGACCTGGCCGAGGTTACGATGACAGATCTAGATCTCCCTACAGGTTTGTTTTGTTGTGTTATTTTGTAATGTACTTTGGGTACAGGAACCTGATCTATGACATCAGTTAGTGCAATACAGTAAAAACTCACAAGTATTAAGGGCGGTGTCTTTTGGATTTAGTCTACTGTCCATTTTATAGAAGTGTCCATTTACACATATTCAATGGTAATACATTCAACTCTCTCTAAGAAGGACACCTTTGGGACCGGCCCCTACTGTCTGTCCTAGAAAGAAGTCCGGCTTATAGAGAGTCAAGGTAATGTGTTGAACACAAACAGACCAGGGAAGGGATGCCTGAGCCCATCGAGATATTTTCCAATCGTTTCAAAGCAAAGAATTGATAGAAGATCAATGGATTTAGAATCATGTTTGCGGCAAACAGCTAACGTCAGATTCAAGTCGAGAAATTCTTAAAAAAGAAAATCAGTGGATAAAAACAGCTGAAAACAATTCTTATGGAGAAAATTGGCGTGAATCTGAAGTTTTGCGTGTGTAGTGATAATGAACAGTAAATGGCAAGTAAAGCGAAAACTTAGTCATGNTGAGCATTTGTTTTAGATGTCAGGACGGACATACAAAGTTTATGTTGGAAATCTTGGCAGCAATGGTTCCAAAAGAGAGCTGGAAATGGAGTTTGAGAGGTTTGGAAGGCTTCATGATGTGTGGGTGGCCCGCAATCCCCCTGGCTTTGCCTTTGTCGAATTTGTAGATCTGCATGATGCAGAAGATGCTATTAAGTCACTAGATGGGGCAAGAATTTGTGGAGAGAGAGTTCGTGTGGAAATGGCTCGAACTAATAACAGTAGAGGAGGAGGAGGAGGAGGTGGAAGTTATCGCTCTAGTCGCCGTGATGATCGAGGCGGTGGGTGGCGTGATGACCGAGGACCTGGCCGAGGTTACGATGACAGATCTAGATCTCCCTACAGGTTTGTTTTGTTGTGTTATTTTGTAATGTACTTTGGGTACAGGAACCTGATCTGTGACATCAGTTAGTGCAATACAGTAAAAACTCACAAGTATTAAGGGCAGTGTCTTTCGGATTTAGTCTACTGTCCATTTTATAGAAGTGTCCATTTACACATATTCAATGGTAATACATTCAACTCTCTCTAAGAAGGACACCTTTGGGACCGGCCCCTACTGTCTGTCTTAGAAAGAAGTCCAGCTTATAGAGAGTCAAGGTAATGTGTTGAACACAAACAGACCAGGGAAGGGATGCCTGAGCCCATCGAGATATTTTCCAATCGTTTCAAAGCAAAGAATTGATAGAGAGATCAATCGATTTAGAATCATGTTTACGGCAAACAGCTAACGTCAGATTCAAGTCAAGAAATTCTTAAAAAAGAAAATCAGTGGATAAAAACAGCTGAAAACAATTCTTATGGAGAAAATTGGTGTGAATCTGAAGTTTTGCGTGTGTAGTGATAATGAACAGTAAATGGCAAGTAAAGCGAAAACTTAGTCATGTGGTACAAATTCACATTTGCCATTTGTCAGAAATGTGACTCTAAATCTCTACATTATCTACTACTCTTTAATTAGCCTCCTACAGCACCTGAAACAAAAAAGGAATGACTATTTAATTAATTTTGTTTGCCTAGGAATGTTAACACAGTAGTTACTTAAGGTCAAGATTCTTGTGACTATAACGGTCTTAAAGATAAGTATAGAAAACAGCATTAGTTGCACAGCATTGTAGATATTCAAGGTAACGCTTTTGTAGTATCATTTTGCTGATGTAACTATCATATCTGGGTTACTCTTTAGGTACATCTAACCGTCGTCCCCATTAAAGAGCTGAGCCATCTTGCCTACTTTTACATGGTTATAAGCCCTGGGATGTGCTGATACCCAAAGAACTTCCCCTCTTCTTCACACAAATGGGCTTCTCCTAGACAGTACCCTGCTCCCATCAGCCAACCTGCCTTCGTCTTCCCACCAACTTCTTTTTACTTCATCATCCCTTCATTGCCCTGAAAGTAGGTTCGTCA